TGTGTTTGCTTCCCATTGCTGCCATGACAAATGACCACAGACTTAGTGGCTTACTACCACACAGACTTATCCTGAAGTTATGGAGGTTAGAAGTTTGAAATGTCTTTTACTGTGTTAAAGACAAGGTAAAGACAATGTCAGTTCCCCTGGAGGCTGTAGGGGCAAATCCGGTTCCTTGTCCTTTTTTGGCTTCTAGAACTCTTTCCTTGACTCACCGTCTTCTCTCACTCTGGCTTTCTGACTCCCTCCACAAGGACTCTTGTGATTATGATTTTTGTTGTTGTTGTTTGGTTTTTGTTTTTTTTGGACAGGGTTTCTCTGAGTAGCTGGCCTCAAACTCACAGAGATCCATCTATCTCTGCCTCCTGAGTGCTGGGTTTAAAGGCGTGCACTACCACCGCCTGGCTCTTGTGATTGTCTTGAGTCTCCCTTTCTGAGACCCTTAACTTCATTTCATTTGCAAAATCCCTTAAAATGTGAAAGGTAACATATTTACCATATTTAGGATATGGACACCCTTTGGAGATTTTATTCCGATTGCCATTTACTTTAATAAATTAAGTTAAGCCTGGCAGCTTATGAGAAGAATGAACTGGCAGTAAGCAGGCTGATCTTAGAGACGAGACAGAAAGCTGCTGTGACATCAGCAAGAAAGATGCTGGAGACCAGGCCTGGATGGAGGGAAACGAGTGTAGGATGTGTTTCAACGGGAGGACAACATGGCCTTGGGTCTGTCTCAGTTCAGTGAAGAAGAACCAGGCAGTAGTGGTTTAAACGGAAGGTGTTCAAGCATTTGAACACTCCCCAGATGGCAGCGCTGTCAGGGGAGCCTTGCTGGAGGAAATTTATGTCATTGGGCGAAGGCTTGGATAGGTTATAGCCGCACTGTATTTCCAGTTTGCTCGCACTGTTACATGCCTGCGGTAAAAGAGCTGATCTCTCAGCTTTCCACTCCTGCCGCTGTGCCTGCCTCTTGTCACCATGCTTCCCTGCCATGACGGGAGAGCAATGGGAGGCATTAGCCCTCTGCAACCAAAGCCCAAATAGACTCTTCTCTGTAAGCTGCCTTTGGCCATGTCTTAGCATAGCAACAGGAAGAAACTAATACAGGAGTTGATGCCGGGATGGTGGCTGTGGATGTAGATGGAAGACTTTGGAACTTTGGACTAGAAACGTAATGGGCCATCCTAGCAGGAGCCTGGAAGGCCATAGGATTGAGAGCAAAGTGGACTGTGGATGCCTGAGGTTCCAGGGGAAGCAATGACTTCAATAGTAGTAAGGCTAAGGGACATTCCTGTGATTTTTTGGCAAAGAGTCTAGCTGCCTTCCACCCTTGGCTGAGGCTAAACTGAAAGGCAATAGACCAATTTCTCTGTTGGAGAAATTTCAATCCTGAATAACGTTGAGCCTGTAGTGACTATTGTCGCTAATGCTTGTGTGGTCTGCGGTGGAAAGGAGCAAGGGGGGCAGAAAGAAAGAAGAAATGTAGAAATGTACAGTTTGGCCAGGCGGTGCTGGCGCACGCCTTTAATCCCAGCATTGGGAGGCAGAGGCAGGCGGATCTCTTGTGAGGTCGAGGCCAGCCTGGTTTATAGAGCAAATGCTAGGGCAGATTCCAAAGTTACAGAGATACCCTGTCTCAAATAAATAAATGAAAGAAAGAAAGAGAGAGAGAGAGAAAGAGAAAGAAAGAAAGGAGGAAGGAAGGAAGGAAGAAAGGAGGAAAGGAGGAAAGAAAGAAAGAAGAGTTTGGAGAGAAAAAGAGCATTAGTAAGCTTAATGTCACAGCCAATGCAGATGCTGGAAGACAGACAGCAGTTGTTGAGATTAACAGCAGAAAGAACCCCCCCCCCCAAGCTAAATTTCCAACTTGTAAGTTTCTGCGTCTGGAAATAAACTGCCCAGGAAAGTGGTTGCTAATGTGCTTGAGGGGCACAGGAACATTCTGGCTTTAGAGACGTGGAGGGTGCACTGGTGAAGGGGTCACAATTCTTCCTCTGCGATTTCAGAGAACCCCTGAGGTTAGGCAGCATGTGGCAGGTGGAGTTCCCGTGTAAGGGCCCTGTGAGAAGGCAGAGGGACCTGGCATGCCATTGCGTGAGGTTGTGAAAATGAAACCTGGGTTACAGGGGAGATTCCAAGATGTGGGTGATGCAGAGCGGTGGGACATCTGCCAAGCAGAGCTGTGGACAGGTAGAGGAACCAGTCCGAGAGAGAGTGTGAGCTTGAGGGGCGGAGCTATCTAAGATACACAGCACCAGGGGTGCTGGGGGTTTGGTGTTCCCACTGCTGGGTTCCAGGCTTGCGTTGGTCGAGTATTCCTTCACCGTTTCCACACCTTCCCTTTGAAATAATAATATATATTCTGTGCTAGCATATGGTGGAAATACGTGATTTGCTTTTTTCATTTTACAGGGGGTTACAATTAAGAGATTGCCTTGAAGGTTGGGTGTGGTGGCACACACCTTTGATCTCAGCACTGGGAGGCAGAGGCAGGTGGATCTCTGTAAATCTGAAACTTGTCTGGCCTAAGGGGTGAGTTCTAGGCCAGCCAGGGAAACAGTCTCAAAAATGAAACAAACAAATTAGAGCAATAAAACAAATAAACATTGCCTTGAGTCTCAGAAGAGACTTGGGCTTTAACTGTGTTGAGACTGTGAAGGACCACGGTGGTGGTGGTGGTGGTGGGGAGGTTTGAAGTCGAACTAAATACATTTTGCATGGAAATAAGGCAACTGGCCTACGGATGGGGGGCAGAAAGTGAAATGTGCTGGTTTCAGTGAGAAATGTCCCTCATACACTCAAGCATTTGATCACTTGGTTCCCCAGCTGATGGCGCTGTTCTGGGCGGTTTAGGAGGTGCAGCCTTGCAGAAGGAAGTCTATCGCTGGGAAGAGGCTTTGAGAGAATCTAGTTTTACTTCCAGTTTGCTCTCTCTGCAGTAAATGATGGGCTCTCTTAGCTTTCCTGCTGGGGCTACCAGGCCTGCTGCTTGCTGCTCTGCTTCCCTGCCACGGCGGATTGGTCTCTCTGCAGCTGTCAGCCCAAACACTTCTATAACCTGTCTTCGGTCATTGTGTTCTAGCGCAGCAACAGAAAGACACTAACACATATGAGAAGATGCCTACAGGTAGAAATGGTCCTATGGGGTGATGGCAGTGCTCCCCAGGAGGTGCGGGTGCAGAGACGGGCCGATGTCAGTGCTCCCCAGGAGGTGCGGGGGCAGGCAGGCAATGGCAGTGCTCCCCAGGAGGTGCGGGTGCAGAGATGGGCCTATGGGGTAATGGCAGTGCTCCCCAGGAGGTGCGGGTGCAAGAGATGGCTGCACTGTATTTTCCCTGTAAGAGTGAATTATGGGGCTCTCTTGCACGTTGCATCTAGGGCACTCTCTAGACATGCAGGACAGGTACCCTGGAGGTAAGAGAGTCTGGGGTCTAGAAGACACTGACTCTTGAGTCCCTTTCCTTGCTGTGGACATTCGTCGGCCCATCCTCCACCTTCATTCCTGTGTGACCATCTCTATTTGACTCCTGGGTTCTCCATTTCGGGATAACAACCGAGGAGTCATATGTGTCTCTGAAGCCAGAATAACTCTGATATTGTCTTCAAGTTTGAGCTTTATCAGTTCGTCCTGAAAGCAAGAATTTAAATTATAGAGGCTAACTTGCTTAAGGACCCAAACTGGCGTGTGACAGCGTAGTTATGTCGCATTCATTGCACACATGTGACTTGCACGTTTGTTTTAGCGATAGATATACTTTCTGTCTCTATCTGTCCAGTCTGAGAGGGAGCCAGCAACCTACCATTTTAGGGCCGTGGAGGCTGTGCTGGAACTTGCTTACGTAGACCAGGCTGACCTTAAACGCACAGAGATAGGCCTGTTTCTGCCTCCCAGCGTTGGGGAGTAAAGGCCAGCGCCACCACACTCAGCAAGGAGAGGAAATTTCTAAGAAATCCAACTTAACAATGAGGCCCTTCAGAGGGAAGAGAGGCTAAAGGTTCCGTCTCCTGGACGGTCCAGAAGGAGCCTGCAGAGCCCCAATTTGAAAATCTTTGTGGCCTGGGGCAATAGCTGTAGCCTCAGTAGCAGAGACCAATCGAGACAGGAGAGGTGTGTGTGTGTGTGTGTGTGTGTGTGTGTGTGTGTGTGCTTTCAAGTGCTTTGGGATGATCTAGGAAGGAAGAGTCTAATGGAGAAGACCTATTGAGTTTCCTTAAGATGGGAGCTCTAAGGAAGAATTATGCCTGCTCTAAGGACAATAAGAAAATGAGCTATTTTGGGACTGGAGCAATGGTTCAGTAGTCCAGTGTGTACTCCTTTTGTAGAGGATCTGAGTCTGGTTCCCAGCACCCATGTCTGGGGGCTCATAACTGCGTGCAACTACAGCTCCGAAAGGATCTGATATCTTTTAGCCTCTTGGGGCACAGACACAAACTCATAAAGCCCGCCCCCTCAAGACAGGGTTTCTCTTTGTAACTGCTCTGGTTGTCCTGGGACTCTCTTTGTAGACTAAGTTGGTCTTGAACTCACAGAGATCTGTCTGCCTCTGCCTCCTGAGCTCTGGGATTAAATGTGTGCGCCACCACCGCCTCGCACAAGCACATATAATTAATAATAGTAATTTTATTTTTGAGATAGAATCTATCGTCTAGCACATTCTTTAAAAGTGTAGGCAGCCATGCCTTACTATAATCCCAGCATTCATAAGGCAGAGGTGGGAGAACACGCACACGTGCTCACACACACACACAGAGGGGGGTGCGTACAGGACGCGTTTTAGGGAGAATAGGATTATTGGAAGACATTGTGGATTGCGGGGTGATGATGGAAGGGAGTGGATTTTCTCAACGAAAGGTGAGGGGAAAAATACGGAATAAAAAAACGAATTGGCATGCTGCGTGCGGAGCCAGGGGGGGCACTGGTAAACTCCGCCCAGAGTCAGGATGCCCCAACGAAGTGACGCAGCGCGGTTTGGCCGCTGTGGGGCGCCGTAGCCCGCGCTGTTGCCAGGGGAACGGGCCCCGCGCCGGGTGAGGCCCAGCCTGCCTTGGCGTGGCACGGCTGCGGAGCCAGCCTGTCCGAACTAAGGCTGAAGGACTCGGAGGCCCAGCCGCGGTCCGGGATGGAGCCACGCTCCGGGACGCGTCTCCTCCGGGTCCGGGGTACTGACTCTGCCCGGACGGTCTGAAGTGCGCCCGCCCTGGGGAGGGTGGACGGGCAGGACGGGGCCGAGCCGCTGGCTGACCTTGGCAGGCCGCATCTGGCGCAGGTGAGGAGCGGCTGCGGCGTTTCTCACCTCGGGCCAGGCCCGAGCCACCGGGTCGCGCTGCTCCGGTGCCTGGCAGGACTCTGGACCCGTCTCGCCGACCCGGGGAGCTCGGGACTTGCTTCTAGCACTAATCAGGGTTATAGGTCTGCACTGAGCGCTCACCGAGTGCCAGGCCCGGTGCAGGCGTCGGGCCTAAGAACAGACGCCCTCAGTCTCCAGAACCCACAGAGAATTAAGGCGGGATTGGGGAGTAGAGGCCAGACACGTGACTAGAGTAAGCTTAGGTCGCCGTAAGTGCTCCGAAGGGCCCTACATGTTACTTTTAAGCTAAGACGTGGAGGTTGGAAAGGAGCCAGAATTGTGAGTAGGGGAAGGGTATTTCTGAAAGAGGGAAAGGCAAACACAAAAGTCCAGGTGGTAGAGCACTAGTGCAGAACAGAAACCACGAGGAAAGTCCCTACAGTTCATAGTGAGGCGGTTCAGCTTTTATCCCAGAAAGGGAAGGGAGTCACTGAAGAGTTCCATGAGTTGGAGGTTTTGTGGTTTCTTTCTTTTTTTTTTTTTTCTTCGAGACAGGGTTTCTCTGTGGTTTTGGTTCCTGTCCTGGAACTAGCTCTTGTAGACCAGGCTGGTCTCGAGCTCACAGAGATCCACTTGCCCTCTGCCTCCCTAGTGCTGGGATTAAGGATGTGCGCCACCACCGCCCCCTGAGTTTCAGGTTTTGATAAGGGTTTTATATGCTGGCTGCTGAGCTGATTAGTTGAAGCTTAGCTCTGCTAGTGCAGCCGAGCCTCCTAGAACCCAGAAGTTTCTCCGCGCCCTCCTCCGGGCACAGGGGGTGAGTTATCATGTTTATGAGACAAAGTGAGGGGGTCCACATCTGAGACCAAGGATTAAAGAGATGGGTGGGAGCCGTGGGAAGCAATTGGACTACTTCAGAGCGGGCAATTAAGTGAATTCCGTGGAAGTGTTTCAAGCACGCCTGGTCTAGAATGAGTGCCACCTAAATGGCAAGGATGGCTGTTACATCACGGACGCGCTGTAAGGTAGTAATGATGGTTAGCGCAGCAAAGATCCTGAGAAGCAGGCTTCATTTTACCAAGGAGGGGTGGTCACGTGGTCACTCTTTTGGTGGAATGGCTGTTTTGCTGTGGGAGACCAGCTGTATACAGATAATCACCCTGAAATGCAATAAAAGCAATGGTGGTGTTTAATTAGTCTGTTTTTTCCCCTATTGTTTTTCTTACTTTGTTCTGTCACAACTTTGTTCTTAATGACTTTCTTGGTGGGTGTTCCCCAAGGCTGGCTCCTACAATCTCTAGTTGATTTCCTGGTTAAAAATCAACAACCCTCTCCTCCTTTCCTTGGTTTTGTTTCTGTTCCCTGGTGCTGTTTCTTATTTCTTCTTCTGAACTTGTGTCCCGGCGTCTGTGGTGGCAGCTGCAAGGGGAGAGTGACACAGAAATGTTTGCACACCATGTCAACTCAGGAGTGATCTCAAGGGTTTCTTTGCTATAGCAACGGACTTCGACATACTGTTTATGAGAGAGAAAATAAAGGCCCAGCCACATTATTTGAGACCAAAGAGCAGAGAGGCCTTTGAGAACAGCTTTAAGGTGTAGCCTGTTTTCTGGAAATGATGTGCTATGCAGCCTTTAGCTGAACTATAGCCACTTCTCAGAAAGTTCAAGACCGCAGGCTTTTCTGGCACCTGTGGGGAGTTTTAATAAACACTGTATTTGCCCCTAGTCGGCTCTTACAAAGGATTCGCGACTAAACCAATGTGCCCCGTGAAGCATTTTCTGTCCCACTCCCCTTTATGTGGTCTAAATTGAGGCGTGTTAGATCTCAGTGAAAATTATTCTAGAAGCAGATCCTTGAGAAAGGCTGAAAAATGATTTAGAATTATTCAGGAATCTCGCAAGGACACAGTAAAGTGCCTCTCCTGCGGGGTGCACCTCTGCCTTGCTCTGGGACCATGGGGCACTGAGCAGCTCTCTTTCTTAGTCAAGCCTACACCAGTGTCTTGCCCAGCAGCTCTGTTGTATTGCCCAAAGTCTGTTTCCAACTTTGACAAGACCCTAACAGTACTAGAAGGTTCTGTGGCTCTTCCTCACAGACCTGCCTGACTCAGAGCTGCCCTCATGGGTAAGAAAGCACTTGAACAAGCTCTCTTGTCAAATGGTTGTTAGGCAGGAATCCCTGGTTTCTGGATTGGTATAAACCTCTAGGTCTCACAGGTTCATCTGGTTCACACGCAGCACAGTAGAACAAAGGGCTAGAGGTGACACACACCCTTTCAGCGTAGCTTATTTGATGAGTGTGTGTGTTGTTGTTTCTGGGGATTGAATTCAGGCCTTTCCACAGAGCTATCCTACTTCCCTTATTTTTTTTTTTTTTTTAGATAGAGTCTCACCTTGTAACTCTGGTCGTCTTAGAACTTACAGTGTGTGGACCACAGAGAGCTTGCCTACCTCTGAGTTGTGGGATTAAAGGTGTGTACCACCATGACCAGCTAATATATTTTTTTAAACAGTAAATGCTCATGATTTTTAAAAAAGGTTGAGTAATAGTAGCGGACACACAGTAGAAACACATCAGTCCCTGGTACTGTATCTTCATGGAAATTACCCCACATTTGGGTTCTGCCATTCCTTCCCAGAGTAATGTGTGCCTCTGGTAACACAGATCTGTCTGACTATCCCTTCTGGGGAACTATTTGTTTCTTTCGACAGTCTTGCTATGTAACCCAGGCTGGGCCTGGAAGTTGTAACTCTCCAGCCTTAGCCTCCCAAATGCTGATGGTCTTTTTTTTTTAAATATATGTTTTAAATATGTGTATTTGTGTATGTGTCTACCTGTCACATATGTGGAGGGCACTGGATCACTTGGAGCTGGTGTTACAGGTGGCTGTGAGCCTCCTGGTTTGGGTTCTGGGAACTGAACTCTAGTCCTTCTGGAAGAGCTATGACTGCTCTTTTTTTTTTTAAGATTTATTTTTATTTTATGTTTGAGAGTGTTTTACCTGCATTATATGTCTGTGTACCATAAGCATTCCTGATACCCTTGGAGATTAGAAGAGGGTGTCAGATTTCCTGGAACTGGGGTTGAAGATGGTTTTGAGCCACCATGTCGTGGGTGCTAGGGTCTGAACCCTGGTCCTCTGTAAAAGCAACAGAGGCTACGCTGCTGAGCCATCTCTCCAGCCCCAGGCTTGGTTTTTATTTATTTGATAGCTCACTCTACAATTGTGTGTCTTGCTTGTTCACCTAACTTCAGCTTTAGAACAAAGTCGTCCCTTGTTTGTAATGCTACATAGCATTGCCTTGTGTGCATATCCCATGGCATGCTTATATTTGTTTTTGTGCTCTGTTATTACAGGAACAATGCAGTGAACCTTTGTGTGTTAGGAGAGCGTAAGATAAATACAGAAATAAAGTGTCTGGGCCACAAGTTAAATGTGTTCTCAGGTTTGGTTTGCCAAGTTGCTTTCTGGCTAACTTTTGAAACATGAGTAAAGAAGACACCCAAATAAGTGGGGTTTGTGAAATTTGCCCTCAGCTCCCTGAACTGTGAGCAGCAGTGAAGAGCCAGAAGAAGGCTCCACTCCAGACAGCCCTGGTTCCTGTTTCCAGCCTGCCTCTTCTGCCTCTTTCCATTCATAGCTTAAAAATATGAGCCTTCTAAGCTTACAGTTCAGCCTTTGGGAGGGGGGGCGGAAATGGCAGTTGTTTTGAGACAGGGTCTCACTACATAGCCCTGACTGTCCTGGAACTCACTATGTAGACCAGGCTGGCCCTGAACTCACAGAGATTGCCTCCTCAGTGCTGGGATTAAAGATATACACCATGCTGCCTGGCTTTGTGTTGTTGTTGTTGTTGTTATTATTATTATTATTATTGTCTGATCTAAGCAACTTAACCTTCCCAGTTTCTCGGCCGCCTTTGACATACCTCTCTACTAACTGAGTTGATTCTGAAGTCTCCAGACATCTCTCAGGAATCCAGGGCTGCCTGTAGGTTCCCCAGAGCCAAGACTTCCCAGTCTGGTTGCTTTAGCTATCTCACGCATGAATTTCATAACAACATTCTGAATTTATTGCTGCTCTTAATATTGTTATTATTTGAGCTAGGATTTCAGTGTTTCGCTATGTTGCCCAAGTTGACTTTGAACTCCTCGGCTAAGTGATTTTCCTGCCTTAGCCTCCTGACTGCCTAAATTTGTTGTTTTTATTGAAGCAGTGGCAGGCAGGAAGTAGATCAGTCATACAACTATTATATCATTCATTATGAGAACTCAAAATGTTAAGGTTTTCTTTCCTTTTTTGGCTGTTTTGAGACAGTGTCTTACTGTGTAACGTTGGTTAGCTTGCAGTTTGTTGTGTACAAGATTGGCCTCATACTCAAAGATTTGCCTACCTCTGCCTCCAGAGTTCTGGACTTTTGTCTCCGGTCATTTGTTACCGCTCTGGCTAAGATTTTCTTCATTGAATTTAAGCATATATATTAAGGTAGCCTAATTTTATTTTTAAAATGTTATATATTTTAGCAAATGAATGTTAAATAGGAAAGATTATTGTCATACTGGAAGTGACCTTTGCCTTGTAGTGACAAGGGACAGGCCTGCATAGCCCCTTCAGTCTTCTGCAGATGTCAAGCAAGTCCATGGCTTAGGTGGCAGATACTTGTGCCTCTAACCATCTGTGCATCTCCTTGCCATTTCCTCCTTCCATCCATGCCAGCATCTGTATGTTTTGTTCTTTTTAAGCAGATGGCACATGAAGAATATTTTACCAAGGCTTCTATACGACTCAGCCCACTAAACACGCAGCTGGGGGCACTGTATGGGCAAGGAGAAGCTGTACACCTGACCTTGACTCTCTGGCGTTCCTTCTAAAGTACAGGGTTGCCAAGCCACTGCCCTCCTGGGCCAGCCTCCTGGTATTACCTCATCCCATGTCCTTTCTGGTCTTGTTTGTGCCCTCTTCTCTACTGAGACTAGAAATCAAAGCCACATCATACTCTGGCTCCTTCAGTGCCCAGAGCATCCTACCTAGGCCCAAGTGATCCCAGCCTTGCAGCCCCCACGGTTCATCTCTCACTGTTCCCTGGCATGCTCCATCTGAGAGGTTTCCCTTGCAAAGCACTGCGCGAATACTCAGATACCCGCTGCCTTGCTGTGCTCTCTGTCTCTCTGGGCCTCAGAAAGGAAAGATGGAGAGGGCAGGTACCTAGTCTCCTCTGTGTTTATACCTTCAGGGCGCACAGGACTGGACCCCGGGAAGCCTTAACTGGCCAAGGGCTGAGTGCACCATCTGGTCATGTTTTGGGGAAACAGAGCCACATATCTTTCATTTTGGACTCCCAGAGGGCTGTTGAGAGGGAAAGGACAGCCAGAGAAAGTCCCCAAGCCTGATGACAATACTTGGTCTCATCTGTGGGCCCCATTTTGGATTTGGTCCGACCTCCCAGCCCTTGTAATGAAATTTTTTGGGCCAAAAAGAATTTGTGGCCTTCAGTTCAACGATAGAAAATATTATCAAGTTTGGAGTTAGCTCTCTCAGGGTTTGGGCCACGCAGGGTGCTCCTGGATGTTCTTAGTGTCTGTTCCTGAGCATTGCTGCTACTTCAAAGAAGTCCATGCTGCCTCTGAAGTCTTAGGCAAGTGGCCTTCTCTAGACCAATAATACCTTAATTTCGAGTCAAAGCTACCTCCAAGACTGTTAGCAGCAAACTTCCTTCTTGGGATGGTGAGTTTTCCTCCCTCAGGACTCTGGGATAGTTTAACACAAGGGATGCCTGTGGCCCCTGTGGAATACTAGGATCATATCAGCCATATGCTCCTGTTTCTCTCCTGAGAAACAAACTCTGCCAGGTATAGGGCTTTTCAGTTGTGGGGTTGATTAAGGTTGAGACTAGGCTTTGGGATCAAATTATGCATGCCCTTCAACATGCTTGCTGGCTCAGATAGAGGATGCATGTGTAAATGCAAGGCCCTAGGTCCAATTCCCAGTACTGCAGAACATTTGCCCTGGTGGGGGTGATTCTGGAAAACCCATGTACAGTCCACAGAGATCTGCCTCAGAGAACTACCAGCTCAGCTGTGTTTACGGGGCTTGACCTGATGACCTTTGGGTATCACCTTTAATTTAAATTTGAACTCTAAGATTGGCCTGCCCTTTCTCTGTCACCACAACTGAACAGCCCTGTACCTTGAGGCAGTTTCCAAAAGAAGAAACAGAGACATGTGACTGATTATAATTCCCTAGTTTTGGTAGTGGCAAGAAGCACAGTGACAAGATCAGAATGTCAGCCCAAGACAATATGGTGGCAGAGTATTGAAATCTAAAGGCTATCCCGGTCTATACAGCAAGTTGAGATACATGGAAAATCCATTAGTCAGATTATCTAGTCCTTCAACTAAATTAAAAGGAAAAATAGAGACAGAGAACTGTATGTCAAATACTTGAGCTGCGCGTGTTTGGCTCACACTTGTAACCTCAGCTCCCAAGGTCATGAGGCAGGAGGATTGCTAAGGGTTTGAGCCAACCTGGGCTACATAATGAGTTTTAGGGTGGTCATGGTGAGACTCTATTTTACTTATCTTTTTGAGTAGCAGTATGTTTATTTCTCGGGGCCATCCACTTAAGAAAGCAGTTTCAGGACTGTGTTCCCAATCAGGCTGTAGCTACTCTGCAATGCTCACCCCAGTGTCCACCACGTGCATGGTCTATGCCAGGGCTTGGGCAAAGCAGATTGCCTGCAAACCAAAACCTTTGGAAGTAAAGTGCCCAGGAAACTTTGGCTACAAAAGCCACTTGGAGGAATGCACCCTCTACTTAGCGGGTAAAGAAACCTTATCGTTACAGGTCTCACTGTGGGAGTTAGTGAAGTTAGATGCTTTCACTGAAGTATTCACTCATTTCTTTTCAGACTCTTCTTCCAGCATCTGTTATGAGAAACTGCTAAACACTTTAAAACGGGCCAGAAAGATTGCTCAGTGGGTAAAGGCGCTAGCTACCAAGCCTGACAGCCTGAGTTCGAACTCCAAGACCCACGTGGTGGAAGGAGAGAACAGACTCCTCCAAGCAGTACACACACACACACACACACACACACACACACACACACACACATTTAAAAGGAAAAAAGACTTCAAGACAGACCTGTGCTGCCAGAGTGCAGTGAGGCTGCAGCAAGCCTTCGCCTCCTCTCCTGCTCTGAACGGCCTCCGCTGCTTTACCCCCGTGGCCAGGGATGTTGGTCTAGTTGGGGTTTTTGAAGATACTGGTTGTATACTGTTGGTGTCAAACATTTAGCAGTTATTTTAATGCACCACATATGTGGAGAACATGCTTAAGAATCCATTATGGAACTGGAGTTGGTAAAGTTCCTGCCTTGTGGGTTTGAGACCTGAGTTGAATCCCCAGAACCTGTGGGAAAAGCCAGGCATGGTGGACTGCTCTTCCAAAGACCTGAGTTCAATTCCCAACACCCACATGGTGGCTCACACCCATCTGTAACTTCATTCCAGGCAACCCTGTGTCCTCTTTTGACCTCCCTGGACATATATGTAGGCAAAATGTCCATAAATTTAAATAAATGTTTTTACAATTATTCTTCTTTTCTGTGTATGGGCGTTTTGCTTACATACATGTCCGTGTACCATGTGCATGCCTGGTGCCCGTGAAGGCTAGAAGAGGTTGTCAGATCCCCTGGGTGTGGAGCTATGGCTCACTAGCTGCTCTTCTAGAGGATCCAGGTTCAATTGCCAGCATCCACATGGTGACTCACTTTGCTCAAGTTGTCCCCTTCTGAGAGGGTAGCCTTTGGCAGGGGAGATGGTTCAGTGCGTAAGAGCACCTGCTTCTCTTGAAGAGAACTTGGATGCTTTGCTTCCCAGCACCCACACCAAATGGCTGTAACGGCCTGCGACTCCGATTCTGGGGGATCTGGTGACCTCTTCTGGACCCTGGGACTCTGCACGCATGCACGTGTGCACACACTTGCTGTAAATAATAAGCAAATGAGGGCGGAAGGCACCTAAGTAGTAATACCAAGGTTATCCTCTGGCCTCTGTAGGTGTGCCCACGCATATCCCCCCCCCCCCCCCCCACGGACAGTGCACACATGCATGCAGAAGAAGCTATTCTGATGTAGATTATTTCATTCTCAACCCTTTCTTTGCAGCTGGGTGTGGTGGCACATGCCTGTAATCCCAGTACTCAGAGGGAAGAGGCAGGCGGTTAAGACCAGCTATGGCTACATAGTAAGTAAGAGCTTGCCTCGGAACGATTTTCTTTCTTTTTCCTATTATTGATAGTTCTGAATGTTAGACTTGTCTCCCTTTTAAGGATCAAAAGGTATCAAAATATATGGTTTTGGTCAGGCATGGTGGCAAACAACTTAAATCCCAGCATTTGGGAGGTAGAGGTAGGTGAATCTCTGTGAGTTCAAAGCCAACCTAATGTGCACAACAAGCTTCAGGTCAGCCAGCGCTACATAGAGAGACCTTGTCTTAGAAAAAGTAGGATAAACAAAGGTATGCTCGAGAGTGAAAAATAGGGTGAGGAGTCAGGCATTGGCTGTCTCCCCATTGTCTATGAGAACTTCTGCTTTTGAGACATAGTCGCACTGTTACCCTGGAACTCACCAGGTAGACCAGGCTGTCCCCGAACTCATAGAGGTCTGCCTGTCTCCTGAAATTAAAGGTGTGTGCACCACACCTTATATGTATGGATATTGAATATACAAAGATATAAAGCCTTAATGCAAGTCAAATATTCTGGTCAACAAATGTTGTCAGTTCAGCTTTATAACAATTGTGGATAAACCTGCTAAAGTCTGGGTAATTGTGTTTGGATTAAAAATACACATTTCTTTCTGAGGGCAACTAAATGATTTTCCTATCATTTTTATCATATGGTTGATTGCAATAACTGTACTTTTCTGAGTTATCCTACATGCAAGAGTTTGTGTACTCATGTGTGTGTGTGTGCATGTGTGCATCTAAAAACTAAATCTAAAGCCGGGTGGTGGTGGTGCATGCCTTTAATCCCAGCACTCGTGAGGCAGAGGCAGGTGGATCTCTCTTAGTTTGAGGCCAACCTGGTCTACAGAGCGAGTTCCTGGACAGGTTCTAAAGCTACAGAAAAACCCTGTCTCAAAAACAAAACCAAACAAAAAAAGAGTAAATCTAGGGCCTCACGTGTGCTGGACAAGTCCATTATCACTGAGCTGCCTGCAGCCTGCAAGTCCGCGCTTTAATAGTCTGTTTTCTTGTCCCTGTGGCAACCTCAGCCAGTCCTCTCATTTGGACATAGACCTTGTAGGATCAGACGCAGTAGCTGCAGCCTAGGGATAGAAAACAAACCAGAGAGCTATTTGAGGTACTTACATGTACCATGTGGTACGCATTTACTTGTAGGATTGCCTTGCAGTATCACTAAACTATGCAGCCTAGGGGGCACCCATACCCCTACTTTCCAGAGGAGTAAATTTGGTCCTCTCAGCTAGTAAGTGCAAAGCCCAAAGTCAGACCTAGACCTGTTTCTTCCAAAGTGGGGAGTCTCCCTAGAATATGGAGTTCTTTCAGTTTGGCCTGCAACCCAGAGTGGGTTCATGCTTTAAAGTCTCTTGGTGCTGAAGCTTGGGGTACAGTGATTTAAAAGACAAAAACCACAAAAAGCACAGTGACTTCAATGTCAGATGAAGGTCAGAGTAACCTTGCAACATTTGTTTAGGCACAAACACAGTAGTTATTGCAGATACAACACAACAATTACTCTGACTTATACCATACCTTCAGTTATTTCAGTTTAAGTTTGCGTAAACATTAATGATTTTGTTAGTACATCTGGACTCTGGTCAGGGTCATGGAAACCCCAAGTGTACTGCCGAAGCAGATGTGACTGCTGGGGTGGACTGCTGAGAATGGTCTAAGCAGCCACAGAATGGAGTCAGGACAAGAGTCACCTTAGTCACTTGAGGCCTGCTTGACCAGGACCATATATCATTTATCTGACACACATTTGCTTTATTTCAGAAGTTTTCAAGTCATCGAACATTCAGTGAGCATCTATTATATACAAGGTATAGCTCCTGATCCTTGGGGGAGGGGACATGGGGGACAGAGGTGAATGAATTACAGCATGCTCACTGTCTGAGGGACACTAGTGTAGGGAGGTGACAGGCATGGGGATGGCAGAATACTCTAGATTACGTGACCGTCCTCATAAGGACTGAGCACAAGGGCCCCTGACTTTGCTGGGGACCCTGTGGAAATCTTCCTGTATCAGAGGATGTTTGTCGTGGGCAGGGATGGCCCAGTTACATCCTGTGGCCTGTGAAGCCAGTCACTCCAGGTAGAAGTGTTGCGGTGCCCTCCTTTGCTTTGTCAGTTTATTGTCTGCTTTGGCATAGCTGCGATGACAGACCTGACAGGAACTGCCCAGGGAGCAAGGATGTATTTCTCATTGTTTCCGAGGGTGCCAGCCCATCGTGGTGGAGCAGCTCTTTCCATAGTGGTGGAAGCTGTTTTACATCATAGCAGACCAGGCAGTAGAGAGCAAGGCAGGAGGTAGGCAGGGACAACAACCCTAAGCCCATCTCCAGAGACCCATTTCCCCTAACTAGGTCCTTCCTCCCAGAGTTTCCAAAAGCTCCCCCAAGACTGCACCTCTAGATAGGAGGCCATTGCAGATTCAGATCCTAATAGAGATTGCTGATCTGTGGGTACGTCCCCCTGAAAGGAGCATCTAGCTGCCTGGGTTTTGTTGCTCACTCCTGGCCTTCCCACTACGAGCTCAGAACTGGCCTCTTTCCCGAGGTGTGACAGTGTTTGCTTAGTTTGTCAGTCCAGAAGATACTGGTGGGCAGGACTCTTCCTCCTGTAAGGACAAACTGGTCCTACTGCTCCTACCGCCTTGGTCAGCAGCTGGGCTGTAGCAAAGCAGGCCAGGGTAGGGGGTTGCTGCCATCTTGTGGTCTGGCTGTGGCCAAGGCTTGACCTTGCTTGGAGCTTTCTCAGTGGCCCTTACCCTTCTGGTAAATCTGTACACCAGGCCCAGATTGGCTGGGAGAAGCATGATCATTTATTCTGCCAGAAGAAATCCAAGAAGAACCCTCCCTTCCCTTGTGTGCAGGCTCATCCTCAGCCAAGCAGCCACAGCTAGCCCCTCTGCACCACAGGGGAGAAGTTTCTGGTCCCTGGTCCTAAGGAGACTATGTGTCTGCTAAGCAGCTGAGGCCAGATCTCCTTTCTGAACACCCCCACTGCCTGTTTCTCTCAGCAGAGGATGGGGGGGGCCCTCTCTGACACTTGATTTGGATCTTGGGACGGAGGTGACTAATCCTAACAGAATCAGCATGTGTTCTCATCGCCCTGGCCCCAGCTTGATATTGTTACCAGATGAGAACATGTCTTATTGAGTTTCACTCTTAGGGCTGTGGAGAGGGAACACTTTGAGTAATGGGCAGCCACAGTGTCCTGAGTAAGTTCGGACCATCCTCCCTTGACCTGGCTAGGCTGGGTCAGAGTCTGTTCTCAGGTTTAGAGAACTGTCTATTTCTGTCAGGCTAGGACCCCAGGTTCCCCTGCAGAGGGTACAGCCCTGCTGGTCCCTATGCTCCTGCTAAATCCTGGCTGCAGCCAGGGCCCTGCGCTCCCACGGGGCCTTTGGGGGCTTAATGCTGTCTACTCTTCTCCCCCTGGAGATGAACATCTGCAACAAACCCTCCAACAAGACAGCCCCTGAGAAGAGCGTGTGGACAGCGCCCTCCCAGGACAGTGGCCCTTCCCCAGAACTGCAGGGCCAGCGGTCTCGCCGGAACGGATGGAGCTGGCCCCCCCACCCGCTGCAGATTGTGGCCTGGCTGCTCTACCTCTTCTTCGCTGTGATTGGCTTTGGGGTGCTTGTTCCCCTCCTGCCTCACCCCTGGGTGCCTGCTGGCTATGCCGTATCCTTGGACTACATGGGACTGGAAAAGCTGGGGAGGTGGATAGATAGCAGAAGGCAGAAGCCTGAGGCTGGGCTCAGGGTCTTAGGGAGCTCGTGGTGTAGAGCAGAGTCTACTCAGCTGATTTTCTGCCTGGCTTGGACTTCTTACTTGACCCTTCCACTGATAAAGTGAGTGGGCAGCCCCAAAGCTCATCAGAGCACAGAATTCCAGAGAAGGGCTGACAGAGACTCCTAAGGCTTCTTCAGACTGATTATGCTTGAGCAAAGAAAGGGAAATGAGGGGGCGAGGACATGGCTCAGCTGGTAGAGTACTTGCCCAGCATGTGCAAGGTCCTGGGTTCAGCGCTCATTTGAAACAGCAAGTTAGGGAGCAGTTATTCCACTGTGAAGGGATTTGTCACGGTGCAGTTTTCCCACATAGTAAGTTTCTTAGTCCATTTCAAATGTGGTTTTATTTATAGACATTATTTTGCTATGTCTAGGAATATTTGCACGCTTATTGGTGTTAGGATGAGGGTTGCTATGGCAAAAGGTGGCATAGAAATGCCCTGCAGGCTCCTGGGAACAGTGACAAACACTAACTTGCTTGAGCCATATGGTCTGGCTGTCTTAGCCCTGGTTGCAACCCCCAAGGACAGAAGGCCTGGCTACAAGGTGGGGTGTAGGATGCAGTAAACTCCCGTGTGCCCCATCAGAGAGTTCCTTCACTGTCTGCTGGCATCACCCTCCTGAAGAGGAGTCCTGAGAGAGGGAGATGGGATAGGCTCCAGAGCACATGCCCACGGGGCTTCCTCTCAGCTCAGGCTCCTCTGGGCTGTGCTGCTCAGAGGAGCTAATGCAGCTCTCTGGTCCACAGGAAGGGGTTCTGTTTGCTTCTAAGGACTGGCATGACAATGAGCGCTTGTTAGAAAGTTTGTGAACATAAAGGGTTCCAGCTGCTAATCCAAGTGTTCTTTCTTGGAGACCCCAGAGCCCTGGGCTGGTGAATGGCAAAGGCAGTGGAGTAGAGGGGTTAGAGAAGATCGTCATCTTCAGACATTAGCAGTGTCTGTGGGGGCTTCTTGGTTCACAGGAGCCAAGGCCAGGGCAACAGCTGGGTGAGTGCATAGGATATGACTTTCCTGAAGAGACCGTGGGCCTTCATGTGATTAGATGAGTGTATAGGAAATGACCTTCCTTAAGAGGACCGTGGGCCTTCATGTGATTAGGTGGGACAGTCTCCTGTGGTCTGAAGTAGCTCCATCCCTGACTCAGGTCACCCAGGTCCCCTCAGGCACTCTCCTGAAGTGAGGAAGGTCAGAGCAAGTGACAGCAAACAAAGTAGCACCGGCTGAGCCCTTACATGTGCTACACACTTGACAGGGTCGTGTGACAATCCTGTCAGGAAGGCCTTCTCCCCATTCATGCAGTGGGCTAGTTACGTTTCTGCAACTGTGACGAAATGCTACGGCCAAAACTAGTGATAGGAGAAAGAATTTATTTCAGCTCATGGTGCCAGGGGGTTAGATAGGGCTCATATGGTGGGAAAGCATGGCAGGTAGGCGGGCATGAGGCAGGAAAGCTGATCACATTCACTGCACACAGGAAGCAGAGACAGTGAACAGGAAGTAGAACAAGACTAAGAGCCCTCAAATCCTGCCCCCCAGTGGTGGACTTCTCCAGCAAGGCTGCCCCTCCTACAAGCTCTTAGCCTCCCAAGCAGTGCCACCAGTTGGTGACCAAGTTTAAATTCATGAACACATGGGGGACGGTTCTCATTCAAGACCATATAAAGAAAGAGGCTCAGACAGGATAGTGACTTCCAGAAGGGCTGCTCAGGCTGGGGAACGGAATGATTTGAGGGTTTGGTCTACTTTATATTCTCTCTTTATCTTCTGTGAGCCACATGGACGCTCCCAGAGCCACCTAGCCTGGCAGTCTGACCAAGGCTGTATAGTTCCATCAAAATCTCCTTCCGTTAAAGCAAGCTCTCAGGGCCTCTGAGAGAGAAGTGGGGACCAAGTCCCCACTGTGGGCCCAGAATGGGCCTGAGCTTCAGGAATGCAAAGGTGACTTTGGGTGTTAGGGACCAGGAGGAGGGCAGATTGGCAGGTGAGGCACAGTGGTCACACCCATGCCGATATTGGGAATGCAGTGTAAAATTGTAGGATGATAAATACCCAAAATGCACAGGTCTTCTATTTTTCTTTTTCTTTTCAAGACAGGGTTTCTCTGTAGCTTTGGAGCCTGTCCTGGAACTCACTCTTGTAGACCAGGACTGGCCTTGAATTCACAAAGATCCGCCTGCCTCTGCCTCCTAAGTGCTGGGTGCGCACCACCTAGATTTTTTAGAATTCCCTTGGAAAGCTCAGAATTTGGCAGCATGGATCCTCATATAGCAGTCGTGAGCTGGGACAATACTTCAGCCATCCCTCTGTTTGACAGCCTGCACGGTTCTGGTATCAGCCCAGCCCTTTTCCCTCTGCCTTCCCTTCCAAGGCCCTGTTAGACTTTCCTTTCCACACGTCAGCTGCGATGACATTTCTTTAGAGAAGTCTCCCAGACCTCCACGGTGTTTTCAGGTCCCTGTTCAGGCACCATCTGTCCTGACCAGCAGGACAAGAATCAGGGTCCCTGGTAACCTGGAAGAGAGGAATGGAGGGGCAAGAGACACGAGAAATGGACATCAAGTCTGTGTTCTGATCAAGCTGCCAACTTTAGTTTTTCTCAGGAGCCTTATACAGCAAACAGGCAGGGGGGAGGGTAGGATGCTGGAATGTCAGGTCTGGAGGCATCCCCTAGCTGATAGGAAGAGATAAGGGGATGCTGAGGGTCTGTAAATATTTACAGGGGGAAATGCTAATCACTTCTGGTGCCTGGGATCCACATATTTGCAGGCCTGTAGACAGTCTTAACTTAGGGAGATAAGAAGATCCCGGAACTTTCCCTACAGAGCCTTCTGAATAGCTTACTTAACTTGTGAACTTAAGATGGCTGTAACCAAAATACAGGTCTTTGCTTCGGCAAGAACCTGTCTGAGTAGATGAAGTCACCAGTACAAACTGATGGGACTGACCTGTTATTTGATTAGTGCCTGTGCTTTCCGTCGTGCGGCAGGCTCCTGAGGGCCCAGGACCTACCCTTGCCATATTCCTTCATGCCTGGTGCGAAGGGAAGAACCGTGTAAACAGCCGAGTGAGTGAAGTGGTAGGAAAACCAGGAGAAGGCAGGAAGCTAAATGTTTGCTCACAGTGAGTGGCGAGAGTTGGGAGAAGGAAGAGCAAGGCGAGCTTTGGCCTGGGCTAAGGCATGACCTTCATCCAGAGAGCCAGTAGTCACTGGAGGCCTTGATGCAGGGAAGAGCGTAAGTGCAGGCTTCTGAAAACTCACTCCTGGAACACAGAAGGGTAGACTCTGGAGAAGAGTGAGGTTCTCAGGTAACCCTGGCCATGGGATAGAGAGCTTTTCAGCTGTGGCACAGCACATTCTGGAAGAGCCTAGCTCATGCAGACAGAGGAATCTGGCTACCGAGGGAGAGTGAAGAGGTTGTTGGGCAGCTGCCGTTGTGGGTAAAGGATGAACATAGAGTGGTGGAAGGATGGTACCCGCCTGGCTAGTAGGAGAACAAAGAATGCTCATGGGTGAGTAGGTGGAGGGACAAGTAGTATCCGCCTGGGTGGAGCCTGTGGGTGAGCTTGTGTGAAGACTTTGCAGCCAGTCGGCAGCCTGCTCATTTCCTGTATTTGGCTCAACAAAGCCATGGGAAGTGCTTGTGTTAGTTCCAGGAGTTAGCTGCACTGCCCTGGCTAGCCCTGACCATGTGAGGCTATCCCAGACACTCAGCGCGGGGTGCCAAGCACCTGGACTTGAGGTGGGGAGGGGGGAGCCAGTAGATTAGTCCTGTCTGCAAGGGGTTCTCCATCTGGCCCCAGCTATTGAAAGGGGGCAGCGGCTTCCATCTCAGAAGTTGCTTCCTGTGAGAGCAAGGAAACCAAGCTCAGAATTTCAGCTTTAGTCTCTGGACCTTAGGGGATGGCGGCCTTCAGACTTTCACCTTCTGAAATCTGAGGCAAGAAACTGGCAGGGCCTAAGCCCCGTGGCTAGACCCCTTGGTGGCAGTAGTACACGGTACTGGCCTTTGGGCTCCATTGTCATAGGACCCTATTCTGCTGAGGGTTTAGGGGTCTGATAAAAATGTCTGGTGAGGGCAGGAGAACATAGTACAGGCAGAGTCTCTGTACAAAGGAAATCTGCATGGACAGGGAAGTCCTCTATCCAAGAAGGTGGGTGGGCTCCCGGTTTGCAGAGTACGAACTAAGTCTTTAACCTGCTGGGCTAGTGCATGGGTGCCATCTTTGCTGGCCACCTGGTGGTGCACCTGACTGCTGTCTCCATCGATCCAGCCGATGCCAATGTGCGGGACAAGAGCTATTCTGGGCCCCTGCCCATCTTCAACCGCAGCCAGCATGCACATGTCATCGAGGACCTGCACTGTAACCTCTGCGACGTGGACGTGTGAGTGGATGCGTGCGAGCGAGTGGGTGGCCCGTGAGCATGCCTGGGGGATGACCAGAGAGTCGCACCAGGCTCCACACTTAGACTTGTGCTCCTGAGCACTTGGACTTCGTATAGTCAAGAGCTGTGCTGGAGGGTGGGTGTGCTGGCCCATACCCTTTATATAGTCAAGAGCTGTGCTGGAGGGTGGGTGTGCTGGCCCATACCCTTCGTCCCAGCACTCAGAAGGCAAGAGACAGGCAGATCTCTGGGAGTTCAGGCTGGCCTGGTCTACGTGGTAAGTTCCAGGACACCTAGTAAGATCCTGTCTCAAAAACAAAACAGAAAGAGTCTTGGTAGAGCTGGGCATGGTGGTGCATACAGTAATCCCAGCAATTGGGAGGCTGAGGCAGGAGGATTTTAGTGAGCTTGAGGGTAGCCAGGGCTACATAGTAAGACACAGATTCAAACAAACCACCACCACCAAAAACAACAACAAAGTCTTGGCGGAGTGACTTGAGAGTGGCTGGGAGAGAGGACGAGGCTAGCATTTCTGGTAGCAAAGGCAGGAGGCACTGGGTGGCACCACAGTCCATTCTAAATGACCAACTCTGCCAGTGGCAGATAGGGGCAGGAGGGAGGTCAGCCTTACGTGTTCTGTGCTAAGTGCCGTGTTCTTTAACAAAAGAGCCAGGTCAGAAAGCTAGGAGGTGTCCTGAGCCACAAAAATACTGAGCAGCAGAGTCAAGGCCACATTAGCTGTGGAGCCCCTGCCCCCAGCACGTTTACCCATGAGGGATCTGAGGCCAAAGAGGCCAAGTGGCTTGCTTCCATGTCTTACTGCTACTGAGGAGGAGACAGAACACCTGGACTCATTTGGCAAATCCCAGTGCCTCTCTAGGAGTCTTCCCTACATTACTGGAGTTTGGAAATCTCGAGACTCAGGTATGTGTTGGGGAGAGCTTGTAGCCCAAGGCCAGCTCCACTCTTGAAAACTGAAGGCTTAAAGTAGCCTGTTAGAGGGTCTGTGTAAAGGAACTGAAGGCCTATTGCCATTCCCTAAGCAGCAGTTAGCACGCACTCTGAGTGGCTCTGGCAGTTACTTTCCATGAACGATGGAAAGAGATCCTGCCATACTCATTTGGGTCTTCCGTCGTGCCTCCTGGGGGAGAACCCACTTGTCTCCTAATGTGGCATTCTCTCACGGGTTCCTTGCCCACGGGTTTCCTTAACGCCCCTAGACAACAGTGAACACCTCTCCTTTCGGCTCCTTTACAGCTAGCCCACACAGGCCTTCTGGAAGAGTGCCAGGAAAATTCCCGTAGGATGGCAAAGAAAGGGACCCCAAAATGGGTCTGTTAGAAGTGCAATTAAAACACCAGTTGGGCAGCTGTGCATTCTGCCTCAGGTTCCGTACCTGCATCTTGTGTGTGGTCTGGCACAGAGGTCTTTGCTTGCAAAGGACACCCCCTTTCTTTCTCATGTGAACCTTACTTAGGTATGTAGTTCCAGAGTAGGACCCCACAGAGCACCCCCTCTTCCCTCTACCATGGTTCTCAGAACCTTCTCCAGGTGTCCTACCACGTGTTTCCGCCAGAGGGCGCGTGTGCTCCTCATTGCAGCGCTCCGGGAGGGGCGGAAGTGCCTGTAGGTAATTAGGAACCAGGCCTGACTTGATCGCTACACCTGCCAAGGTGGGCTGGCTGGCCGGTGCGAGGTGCCTTCCCCAACCCTCCGTAGGAGTGCGCGATCCAAACACTGCAGCGCCTGTAACAAGTGCGTTTGCGGCTTCGACCATCATTGCAAGTGGCTCAACAACTGCGTGGGCGAGAGGAACTATCGGTGAGAGTCACCTGGGGTCTGGGAACTCATGCCCTCTGAGTCTGGGCTCTATTGTAGACTGCTTGTAACGGGGCGCACAGTTGTGGGTAGGGATGTGTGCATGCTGAGAAGGTGGTACTTGGGATGGATGAGGGTGGGTTTGGAGTCTTCCATCCTATTAGTCCAGACAAAGATGGGGGACCTGATAAGTGGTTGCCTCTTAAGGCTCTATGACTTTGACTTCTGAGGAGTTGGGGCTGTGGGGTCAGGAGCCTGGCTTCTGGGCTTCTGGCTGTTACGAAGCTCGAGATCCTGAGTGCTCACAGCTACCTGTGGCCGGGCCAGGCTCTTTCTACACAGTGTGGCATCTGCTTTATTGGGTGTTCTGCTCCTGGTGCTGGTGGCCACATATGTCTTCGTGGAGTTCTTTGTCAACCCCATGCAGCTTCGTACCAACCAACACTTTGAAGGTCAGTGTGGGTTCTAGACACAGACATGTTTTAGTCAGTGCACCCCTGGCCCCTGGCTAAGCACGGACTGCCTATGCCTTGCAGTCTTGAAGAATCACACAGATGTGTGGTTTGTGTTCTTGCCTGCTGCCCCTGTGGAGACCCAGGCTCCTGCCATCCTGGCCCTGGCTGCCCTACTCATCCTCCTAGGCCTGCTTTCTACAGCCCTGCTCGGCCACCTGCTCTGCTTCCACATTTATCTAAGTGAGTGCCTTCTCCAGGCTCACACTGAAGGGGGGGAGTCTCGGCGGCAGGGAGGTGCCTTTTTGAACTGTAGAGCCTTGAAATCCAGTGCCAGTTCTTTGTGGTAGGCCTGGTTTTGCCCCATTGCTTAGTATAATTGTGGCTAGGGATTTGAACCTGGTACTGGCTGCCTGCCCTTCCAGTTTCCAGTGTCACCTCTCCACTACTGACCCCTCTCTTCCCACACCCACCAGTGTGGCACAAGCTTACCACCTATGAGTACATCGTGCAGCACCGCCCAGCCCAGGAAGCAAAGGAGACCCACAAGGAGCTTGAGTCGTGCCCCCGCAAGATGCGGCCCATTCAGGTATAGAGGTGGCCCAGAGACCTGGGCGTGAGTGTATGTGTGTGGTGGGGAGTGGGGCTGTGCAGCAAGAGCCATGGAGGAGACCACTGCAAGGGAAGCAAGCCTAGGACAGCAGCTGGAGTGGGCACTGGGAAGCAGGACCCAGCCTTTGCTGGGCCATGGGCACCAACATAGCCAAAAGGAGCTCGAGTGTTTCCGCAGTCCCATGTCCTCCTGCCCAGGCACCAGGCACTTGGGAGAGGAAGCTGGGGTTGTCAACTGGGTAGTTAGGCCGTAACCATTGGGTCTCTTCATCTGTAATCTTGACTTCTTACCTATTATCCTATTTTAGTTTTAGAACAGGGGCAACTGTTAACAGTCTGTGTTAGAGATGGGCACATTAAGGTTCAGAAAGGTTAAACCGAAGTCTGGTCTGGGAAGAGTTAAGACTTCTACACATAGGGGACAAAGCAGGAACCCTGCAACCTAGGCTTTGGCCCGGCCAGCCCAGCTGCTGACCAGCCTATCCCCATTCCCACGCTCCCAGCTTCCTGAGGTCAGCAGCTGGAGATGGAGGTGGTCCAGTGCTCAGAGGCCCTAGGGACTGGGAAGGCAGGGGGCCCGGGCAGGCTTTGCTGGGAAGGCTGAGATCCCAAATCTTCATGGCAACTAGATACAAACACAGGCTGGTGGGCGGGTTGGAGTAGGACCCCGCCTCTCCTTTTCTCATCCCCAGGGCTTGAACCCTGCTCATGGGCCAGGCTGAGGAGCACTAGCAACCGTTAGAGAACCCTGTCACCCTATCACATACCTGCCCTGGTCTGGGCTCTGAGCTGTGTGCATCCCAGAGTACCTGTCGAGTAAGTCAGCAAGACTTGCTCTGGGATGCCCAGACTTCAGGGTCCTGTACCTTTGGGGCCAAGCTTGGCAACAGCAAAGCCGTTTAAGTCAACTCTGTTTGTCTGCAGCTAACTTGAGGGAAGCCTGCCCCATAGGAGCCGGGTGCTTGTCCTCTTTTAAAGAAGAGAGAATGCTATGGCTGAGAGGTTCCAAAGTGCATCAGGAATGTGCAAATGTTTGAAGGTTTCTGAGGAAGGAACCTGAGGATCAGTTCTGAGGAAAGGAGGGAAGGCTGAGTGGGCACCTCCTGGTGATATCTTCAGACTTCCTTTTAGCTGGTTAGGGCCTGACTTCTGTTCTATCCTGGAGACTAGGGGATCCAAGGTAGCCTTTGTCCCCTCTGCTGGGTGCTGTGGGGGAGAAAGGTGTGAGGCAAATAACCTTAAGGCTCCAGTACCTGGGACTAGTTTCTGGCCTGTGCTGCTCTGCTTGGACAGGTATCCCCATATCCTCCCCAAAAGGGTCATCTTGGGCAGAGTTTGAGCATGTGACTTTGTCTGTGGCCTCAGTTTTTGCACCTGTGCAGTCAGCCAGTAGTTGGCTGGGCCTTATCCTAGTCCCTAAAACTCTCAGGGACCCAGCAGTCAGCCTTCCACCCCCGCCCAGCAGGAATTTGGGAGGGGCCCCTCTCTGGAGCCGTTGCCCCCAAAACATAGGCTTGTTTTAGAGACGGCTTTCTGTTACAGTGTCGTCTCTGCCTTAGTCAGGACGCCTCTGTCACCATGGAAACTCCTGCCTAGTAGGCAACAGCTGTCTGGGTGCTCCCTCCAGCTCACTGGCCCCGCCCTTTGCCCTCTGCCCCACGCCCTTCCTGAGCTGGCTTTTCCCGGGCTTTTATTTCTTCACCTGCAGTTCTCTCCAGCAAAGCTGGAGGCGGCGGGCATGCGGAGGTGCCAGCCCAGTCACTCCCAGCCCTTTGCTTCAGGGTTTGTTACTTCGACCGCCTTCGAGTTCTCTTTGTATGAACCAAGATTCAGGGCTGCGGTACTCTTTCCTCACCTGCACCCTTTCCTTCTGGGGAGCAGGGACAATGATTGTACCCTCCTGGTTCTTTGAGAGCGAGGGGTGTACTCAGTATGCAGCCAGACTGACCTCTTAGTGCTGGAGCACACAAACTGGTCTCCTGGTCTCTGAACAAGTTAGTTGGGGACTGTAGCCCCAAGAGGAGCCAGGAGCAGATGAGGGCCACTCTTGAGTGTCTTGTCCCTAAGAGCCTCTTGGCTATGCTTGCCCAGTCTAAGCATACTGGACTCGAGGGGCTGCAGCCTTCCTCAAGTAGAATAACTGGAGTTGGACTAGCTGAAGAGAGCCCTTGTGATGGCGTGAGATCTGGAAATGAGTGTTTGAAACCTTACCCTGCAGAAGGGTTTTCCTAGCCCATCTGAGTTCCAGGAAGACAGCCCTAGACCCCTGGGACATGAGGCCACCAAGCTTCTAGAGAGGCCAGTGACAAGGTGTGCCCAGGGCTTAGGAGGCTGTGGCTCCAGACATAGCCTCCCAGCCTTTCTGACCCCCTCTTTCCCGAGGAGATGGAGTTTTATCTGAGGAACTTCAGCCATGTACGTCCAGAGCCCTCTGGCCAGGCCAGGCCGGCAGCATTAAATGCCAAGTAAGTACTACCTGGCTGTCCCCATGGGTGGTGGGAGAAAGGGAGGTATGTCAGGGTCAAAACATGTGTCTGGGGCCAGTTTAGCAAAGTCTTGGATGGATCAGTGTCTCTCTGTCCTGCTAGGACAGGAACCTCTAGCAGGCAAGGGCTCCGGGGCAGCATCTAGAGCTTGCTCTCTGGCTTTTACCTCAGTCCTTCCCAGTTTCTTGCCACCCAAGGCCAAGTGGAACCACCACTGCCCTCCTCAGACACACTGGCTCTGCCGCCACGGATCCAACCCCAGGTAGGAGGGACTGGGTTTGATCCTCTGCCCAAGAAGAGGGAGATGGAAAAGAAGCCTCCATTCTTAGAAGTACCTCTGCCGCTTTGGGCAAAGTGAGGTCTGGGGAAGTGGCCCACACTCCCTCTGTCTCTGCAGAAAAAAAGGAAGCGGCATGTGTATAGATTGCCAAGGTCTGGGGTCTTGGACCTGGAGCCCCCGCTGCCCAGGTTACGGGGTGAGCATTCCTCTCAGGTTGGATTCTGTTGGGTTAGTTCGAGGGAGGGAAAGGTTCCCTTCAGTAAAGTTTCCCTCACTGTGCAGAGACTGGGACCCCTGGCCGCCACTCCAGCTCTTCGTCGGGTTCCACCAGTGCCAGCCCAAGCGCCTACTACTCCGCATCAGCCGAGTCCATGGAAGAGATTCCAGTGGCCCAGACACGCCTGGGCAGTGCCGCGCTGGGCGCCCCAGGAGCCAGGGGCCGAGAGTCTGGGCTGGCGCTGCAGGCACGTTCGCCGGCCGTGTTCGTGAGCCCGAGCAGCGGCGAGCCCGGGTCACCTGGCGGCGGTGAAGATGGCCTGCCTTAGTGCGGACTAGAGGCAGGAGGGCCGTGTAGGAATGGCCGGCCCCACTCTATGCAACACCCCATCTTTGCCGCACCGAATGCGGGCCTCAAGGCCGGCAGGATCGGCCTCCCTTGCCCAATACTCAGCAATATCCGCTCCACCAGCCCTGATGCTCCAATAAACGTTTTTTTTAAAAATGCTTTTGTGGGCTTAGGGCTTATTTTCATAATGGAAAGAACCGTGGTCTTCCTGAAGCCGCCCGTGACTGTTACTAGCTGGCCTGGGGCAGAGTGTGGGGTGGGGTCAGGAAAGGTGGAAGATTCCCTGGAGAGGATTTTTGTTTTAAGGGTCGGGGACCAAACACGGGGTTTGTTCATGTTTAAGCACTACTACTCGCCTTCCCACCTCTCCGTTCCTTCTCCAGCTTCCTTTGTAGCCCAGGCTAGCCTCAGCATTTTGAATCCATAGCTTCAGTTCCTGAATACCCAGACTACTGGCGTGTGCCACCACACTCAGCAGTGTTATTTAGTTAAGTAGTATTTGCAGTTGAAGACTGAAGTGGAAGCAGGCTCTGGAGGCAGCAGCAGGAGCAGGGGCTGTGAGGCCGAGGAGAGGAGAGGAGGCAGTGGAGGCAGCCGTTCTTGATGTCCGGAATTGTTTCCTGACAGTGGTCGCCATCAAAGTACCCCGCATTCCAGGGCTAGGTATGTGTGATCCACTGATTGTCCCGATCTTACCCCGATGGGCCAGAATCTGGACTCTACTCAGAACCTGGGGGTAGTTGGCAACAACTGTGGTCTTTCTTTAGTTAGCTGTAGTCCTTGTCAGTGAGGGAGACGATCCCGCTCTTTTCAACTCGGCTTCTAAACAGTCTCAGGTTGACTCTTTCAGAAGTCCTTTAAGGGCTGGGGACCCCACTTGAGCTTTAGGGTGCTCTTTTCCCACTGGCCATGGGAGTTCCTATCCTAGGACATCCAGGACTGCAGAGGGCAGCTTTGGCTGCTTGTGGACCGCGCTGAAGGGGAGGGGAAGTCGCCGCAAATCCAAGGGCCCAGAGCCTACAAAGCTAACAGGGCGGGGTCTGGTGGGAGGAGCCAGCGTGACCTTGGTCACTCTCCCGCCGAGACTGCCTAGGGGGTGGGACTCACCGTCTCTATGGTGACCGAGAAACAAGGGATAATACCACGGAGCCGCCCCGGCTGCAGTCCCGTCCGGGAGCCGGCAGGGAGCGGAGCTGTGGAGCCTCCTGGTCTCCAGCATCTGTCGATTAGTTCCTGGGTCCTGTCTATCCGAAGGCACACTCAGGAGCAGCCACGAAATAGAAGCCGGTAGGAGAACTGAACATCGACCACCCTGATTAATATCCTCCACAAGGAGGGGTGGGTGGGAGCAGCCTGTACCAGCCTTGGATGCACCCCGGCCCTGGCCCCAAGCGTTCCACACACACCCCTACCCCCACCTCCTTGCTAGGCTGATTGACGACTGCAGCTGTCCCAGCAGGAGCTGACAGGCGGATTCAGTTCAGAGGCGTGGTCACTCCATCCAAGGTCTACAGACCCCAGAGCAGTTGTCTGTGATTTTGTTCCACCTGAACAGCCCCCAAATCCATCTTCCCCTAGACAGAAATGAGCAATAGGCTCAGGATCCTCCCATCCTTAAGACGAGCATCACATAGCTCCCAAACTCCCCTGGGTATGTTTATTGCTGGTGACAAGTGCAGGGCTTTGGGTTCCCGGTTGGGGTTTGCACCTTGGGAGAGGCAAAGGGAGCGCAGTACCATCTGGGTTACATCCCACAGAGGTCCCCTGCAATGTGGAGTTTGGTTTCCCCGTCTTAAAAACTGCAACTTACGGATGAGCAGGTGTGGTCACCAGGAAGGGTCTTTCAGTGTCTACTTACTGGTATAGTAGTGGAAGAAGAGGAAGCTGTGGGGGGATGGTGGGGGGTTGTGGTCATTGGTGACTTTTGTTCTAAGAGGCAGACAAAGATGGTGGCTGAGAATGAGGGTGTGGTCAGGATGCTGCAGTGGGTGTGGTGATGGTGGTATATCTTAGTATGATGCAGGAATATGGAGATGCCAATGCTGGTTAGACTCTCGAGGGGCTTTGGGGCAGTCTGTATCAATAGCTCTAGGTATACGGATAATGTAGGAAGGCGAGGGGTGTGGTCAGGAAGCTGCAGTATGGATTGTGGTGGTGGGTGTTCAACATTTTGCATGGGAGTACAGAAATGTTATTGCATAGACTGGACACTGTGAGGGGGGTTCAAGGCAGGGCTGTGTCAGAAGCTGCAGGTATATGGATGAAGGGGGGTGCTCCAGGGTATGGTCAGGGGGCCTTTGTAAGGGCTGTGGGTACAGAGTCAGGTTAGTGAGTGTGGTTGGGGTCTTCAGGATGTGAAGGAAAAGGATGCAAAATGGGGATGCAAGTGAGGTTCAGGGCATGAGCTGCAGTGGGAGTTTCACAGTGGGGCCGAGGGTGTGGTCAGAGGGCTGCAGGAGGGAGCTGAGTGAGGGTGACTCAGGGGGTGCAGGAGGGAGCTAGGAAGGTGTGCTTTAGTGCAGGGCTGAGGGTATGCTGGAGAGGGGGTTCAATGCAGGACTCTTAGTGTCTGTGCCGAGATGGAAGTGGAAAAAAGGGTCAAATTCTGGGCTTTGGGTGTGGCTGTGGGTAGGGTCAGGGGGTACATGGTTGAGGGTGTGGAGAGCCAGGGCTCAGTCAGTGCATATGAGCTGTGAGGATGTGGACTGGTGTGGTCACCCTCAGGGTGTGATAAGAAGACCTTAGTGAAGGGCTGAAGTGTAGACAAGGGGATGTGTGCTTCAGTGAAGGGTTGAAGCACCAAGATCACGGTCCCATTAGCATGGAGGACTTTAGGGGCTATTCTAGAAGCCTCCACCTAGGTTGCTTCCAGTTTCCCACTCCTAAGCTCCACAGACTGGGAGCTCAGCTTCAATCAGTGGCAAGGGGCCAAGAAGCCACGGTTGTGCCCTAGGCTTAGGGAGTGCTTGGCATGCCCCACCCGTGGGCCCCTGATCCCCAGCCCAGCCCAGCCCAACCCAGCAGCACTGGGAGCTTCTCCCTGAAGCCGCCCTGACACCATCCTACCCTTAGCAACACTCTCCAAGCAGGACTACCCTCCCTTAGCAACCGTCTCCAGGCTTCACAAACTGTGGCCAGGCCAGACCTAAGTTCCTGCTCCCCTCATGTTTTTGTTTAACAGCAAATAGTAACAAGGCCAGGGCTGGGCCAGCTGCACCCCTGCCTAGGGCATGCACCACTGCCCTTGTTCCTGCTCCCTTGTCAGGCTTAGGCTGGGCCTCTCTAGGTCTTCATGACCCTTAGAGAGACACTGCCCTCACGAAATGCCTGCCCATACGCCAGCCTTGCCTGGCACTGACCCAGTTTGACAAGGAGCTTTTAGGGAGGGAGGGCTTTCCTGCCCCCCCTCACTTCCACCCAAGCAAACTTTGTGCCAGGGACAGACAAAGCCATGCCCTAGCTGCTACCCGCACAGCCCTTCTGGACAGTGCCACTCTGTTCTCAGTGCTGTGTGGGCATCATGATTTCATCTCCTGAGCCCTATTGAGAACCAGAACTGGCATTGAGCGTGACAGGACCTTTCTGCCTGTGGCTCTTACTCAGCTCTGGGGCACAAGAAGACACAAGGTGCCCCCTCTCTCTGAGGGACTATACCAGGCGTGCGGCCAGCTCACCCCTTGTCGGTTTTGAGATGGCAGCAGGGATGGTCTGGGTCTCAGGCGGTGACGGAGGTGGATTCCCACAGGGTTGGCATGGCAGCAAGCACCGATGTAGCTGGGCTGGAGGAGAGTTTCCGAAAGTTTGCCATCCATGGCGACCCCAAGGCCAGCGGGCAAGAGATGAACGGCAAGAACTGGGCCAAGCTGTGCAAGGACTGTAAGGTGGCTGACGGAAAGGCTGTGACGGGTACGGATGTGGACATCGTCTTCTCCAAAGTCAAGTGAGTGCTGGGCAGCCCTTTTCTCGTGTTCCCAGAAAGTGGGGAGTTGGAGGTTGGGGGCTGGGGTCAGGGAGGATATCAAGAAGGGAGAATCCTTATGGTGCACGTGGTGCCTGGCAGGGCAAAGTCGGCTAGAGTCATCAACTATGAGGAGTTCAAGAAGGCCCTGGAAGAGCTGGCAACCAAGAGGTTCAAGGGGAAGAGCAAGGAAGAGGCCTTTGATGCCATCTGCCAGCTGGTAGCAGGCAAGGAACCAGCCAATCTGGGTGTCACTGTAAGTGCCCTGCTAGCCCTGCTGCTGAGAGGGTATGGGGACTCTCAGCTGGAGTGGGGTGGGTAGGATGGGCCAGTTTCCCTCTTGGGTGACCCTGTTGGAACTCTGTCCAAACAGAAAGCAAAAACAGGAGGTGCTGTGGACCGGCTGACTGACACCAGTAAGTACACAGGTTCCCACAAAGAACGCTTCGATGAGAGTGGCAAGGGCAAGGGTATTGCTGGACGGCAGGACATCCTGGACGACAGTGGCTACGTGAGTGCCTACAAGAATGCCGGCACCTATGATGCCAAGGTGAAGAAGTGAGACCTGGGAAGGCCCCCAGTGAGGCTGCTCCACTGGAGGCTCAAGCCTGGGTCAAGGGTCACACAGAACAAGAAAGCCTGGTTCCCTCCCTGCTGGATCTGCCACCAAGAGCTTCCTGCCCAGTCCCAGGGCCATCCCACCAGGCCTCTGACCCAGACTTCTGTGTCCCTTCCTTCTTCTTGTCTCCCTGACTTCTGTCTGGGAGTCAGTGCCTACACCCTCACCTCCCCAGCCTGGTCCCAGGTATGGCTGACTCTTGCCTGCTTGCCTCATATTTAAGCTGCTGCTCTGGCCAAGTGCCTAATTCTTACCCAGACCTCAATAAAGATACCTTTTGTACCAATATGGACTGACTGGGTGTGATGGGGTCATTGCAGCCCCCCTCAGTCTCACCACCTCCTGTCATCCACCCTGCTGGGCTCTTCCTTCCCACTGGCAGCCGGGCCCAGGAGAATGGATGAGATCCTCTTCCATTAGTGCAGAGCGGAGCTGAAGGAAGATGTAAAGTGTTCTGCTGGCCCTGACCCCAGAGTGATGCCATCACAGCCCGCTGTCCTATCGCTAAGGGCCTCAGCCTGCACTCAGCATTTGCACAGCAGAAGGAAGGATGAAACAGCACACTTGGCCTGAGC